ATTTTCATAGAATAATATTTCATTTATTTTTCATCTATCCCTCTATGAATAATAAAAATAAAATTATTTTCTCAATCATTCTTTCTATACATAGAAAGAAAAATATACGGCGTCAAAAAATCAATTAAATTCTCGGAGTTTTAAAAATTTACTGAGTTTCGTTCATATCAAGACAGATCTATAATAAATGAACGAAAGTTGTTTGTCCGTAAAATTAAGAACTAATCAGATCTAATTAGATTAAGCAAGTTTGGGATTAAATCTATCAGTTTCATTGATTTTCTGTCAAGTTATCACAGTTAACTTTTTTCACTGATTAACATTTTTACAGTCTTGATTTTTTTTTATTTTGAAGCAAAACTTCTGCTACTATATAATTATTTCTTTCCAAGCTAAATTCATTTAAAAAGATTTCAATTTTCCTGGTTTTAATAGAAATAATTATTTATTCAATTTAAAAAAAAAGGTGGGCGTGAAAAAAACTTTGTCCGTACTTTAGGTCGTTAAAGTCATCAAAAAATAGTTTATTTCTGAAAGATAAATATGGAGATAAAGACATTTATTTGAAATTAAGATAAATTATTTTCCCTGAGAGATGTGATAAGTAGCAAATAATTTAAGTACTTGGAACACAATGGATATATAGTGAGGAAAAAAGTATATAATCTCGTGATCTCTTAGATATACTCTCATGGATTAAACGGTGGCAACTTAATTTTTTTTTCTACCTCTAAGGCGATTCAGAACCACAAGTGTGCTCAATTTTCTTCGGCAAAGCGATTTTCCAAGAGGCAATTCGGTGCTGGTGGTTTCTCTCTGGAGAATCTCCACACTGTCGAGATCTTGCGGAACTAATTCCCGCAAAAGTGGTCTATTATAAACGAAGATAAAACCCAATGAGAATATTTCGATATTAAATGAAGCGCGTTGAAAAATTATACTGACGAGTGATCAAAGAATTATTCCTTTTTTTTTTGTATTATCTCAAAATGTGAAATATAATTATAAGATTTTACCATACGTATTTATATCTTTCTTATTTTTTGAATAAAATCTCAGAATAATATTTTGTTTAAATTTTAAACTGTCAATAAATAATTAAATTTAATGAGAAATAAACAAACAAATGATTATTTTCTAATGCAATGTGATTTTTTATCGTCATTTTTTAAACTTAAAAATGAAATAAAAATAATCGAAAGCCATAGAAAAATATACTACCTCAACAATACAAAGGAAAAAGTTCAAAGAATGAGTCAAGAAACCATTGAACAACGGAAAATTAAAGAAAGTGATTGAAGAAGAGCTGAAAAATCAACAACTGCCAAGAGACATATTGTTTCAATTTACAATTCCATTATCGCAAAACGTATATACCACAAAGAAATAAAAAAAACTCAACTCATACATTTTTCTGAATTTTCTTCCTGAATCTATTTTTCTCTAGTTACAATTTATCAGACACATTCACATACACTTGTCATTTTCTTATTTTTTAAATTCTTTTCTTCTTCTTCTTCTTCTTGCCGAGCAATGACGTGTAGATTTAGCTCTCCAACAAATTTCGCTTTACTCTTTGCTCACTCATACTGTACTTGGTCATGTCTCTACCATACTTCCCTATCTATTCGCTTTTTGTTTCGCTACTATATCTTTCTCCCACATCAGCTGTGCTACAGCGCTCTTGAGATTTCGCAAAGCTCTTATGTATACCCCCTGGCACTCGCTGCACTCACTCACTAGGTACACTCAGACCCCATGTTCGTCCATTTACTGATTCTCTATTCTAGATACGAATGAAGTGCAAGATAAAAAAGTATTCCTCAATGTTTTTGTTTTAATTTTGGAACAATAACTTGACTATCTTCATTATGCCATTGTCATTACTATGCTTCTTGTTTTAATTTATCCACCTTTTTCAGTTGCACTAATATACATATTTGAGAGACAATCTAATTAAATCGTAATTAAATTAAAACGAGCGTATCTTGGGTAGCCAAAGGATTACATCGAGGTTAACATCAGTCTAGAATGACACATGACAATTCTAATTGCATCCATATCCGTTTATACAATAGCACGATGGAGAATTAATTCAAGCATCTTGGGGGTGACGGAAGTGGTGTGCACACCAAGGGAAGTCGGAGGTCATGCAACGGGTGTTACGGGTATATGCTAATGGAGATCTCTAGAGATCCTTGACATCTAACATTTGGATTGGTTGAGATATTGTAACTACTTGTACTATTAATCGATTTAAATGTGCTGTGATAAACTCTAAAGCGTTTTTGCAAATTTATTGCTCTAGGCGTCGTATATTTTAACGCTCCTTTCTATTTGAATATTAATTTAAAATTACCTTGAGATATATTTCGAAATATTGTTTAATAATATTTATAGCCATGTTCGAAACTGCTACTTGACCGATAAGAAATTTTTCTTAATACTCTTCAACTATATTTAAAAAAAATAATTGTAGAATTTAAATAAGAAACTTCTTAGTGTATTTATTGAGTACTTTGAAAATAGTAAAATGAAGTAATGTTTGATTAAATAAAATTAATTATTTATTGGCAGAGTATTTATAATTGAAATATTTAGAAATATTTTATGAATGTATTTAATTAGGATAATAAAATATTTCATATTCAGAGTACAGAAATACATTTTTTGTTTAATTTTAAAGAAAATAAGATGTGTTATTGAAATTAGAGACTAGTTATTTTTATTTTTATGTAAAAATTATTTGAATAGTACAACGCTAAAAATTGACTGCAACCATTCACTTTTCTTAAAACTTTTGCACGAACCATATAAATAAAATTCCTAAGAAATTTATGCAACTTTTCTTTTTAATAAAATTCAAAGGGAAGTAAAAGGAAACCATAAATAAATTAAAAATGAAAATAAAAACTCGCCAATTCTTAAAAACATCAGGGATTCTCAACCACGCGACCTCAAATGAAGTTTTTGTAGACATTTTTCTCGTGTTAGACTCTATGACCCGGAAAGTATTCGAGCAAAGGTTCAAATACGAGAACACTAGTGCTCTTTCGACGACCGACTCTCTAGTTTTCGTCTCAAAAAGTAACGAGGGTGAGAGGATATCCTGACTGTCTGCATTTCATTCTTTTGTTACTTGCATGACATTTTTTATGTAGGATAAATTTTATGAACTAAATATCTGTATATATCATCACTTATAAACATAATTTATTTTACAACATTAATTTATTCTTTATCTATTCATAAATTTCATTAATCTTTCATTACATGATAAAAATGTCTAAAAAATAAGCTAAAAAAAATTTCTCATTTAATTTATTTTTAAAACTCCTAGATAAAAGGCTTAAAGCTCTTTTCAAAATTGCTATTTAACTGTGAATAAAACTATTTTCTGCTATCGGTGTAGGTACTCGCACGATATTATTCATGTAACTTATATTTTATGAGCTGAATATCTTAACACATCATCAATAATAAATAATTTTCACGTCACAACTCCAATTAATTTGTTCATTAACTGTAATTTGATTTTACAAAGATCAATACTTTCCATAAGAAAGAAATTCCATTTATCAATAGTTTTATAAGCAATTTAACTTTCTAGTATCAACTCTCTCATCTGTGATTTCTTAAATCAGTTTCTCAAACTTGTATTAATTTTATCAAAATAAATACAATAATTGAAAAAAATAAATTTTACTCCATTATCACTTATACCTTTATTTGCATGACTAATAGATTAATTTTGTGCCATGTTTTCAAGGATGATACATTAAATGATTTTTAAACAATGTATAAACAAAGAGATCACACGATACAAACAGAAATGTTCCATTGTTCGTGATACGGCACAGTATCCAATCAATCAATAACAATCTGTCTGTATAGATATTTAAAGTTTTCCATGTAAATCAATGCTTAGAAATAAATCCAATAAAATGATGTTCGCAACAGCTCTGTAAGGCCCGTGATAAAACGTTGTGTCGAGCGATCAAGTACAATTTAATGTCAGCAATTTAGGGTGGAAGATTGCAAGCTTGAGCTTTCAAGTGAAACGACACAGTAGGAGGAGAAATGGTACGGGAAAATGTTAAATTTGCCACGTTATTAAAGAATCTTCAGAAGCCGCCAGCGGCTCTGCTAACGCTTTCTTCTAAACTCTGATAAAAATCTGCTGAGAATTGAATCGATTCCCTAGAGTCACGTTGAGTTGAATTGTCAGGAGAGGGAATTTAATTTACTTCGTCATGATAGCGGCATATTCAACATAAAACCCGGTAAAATGATAAAGAGAACGTGAAAAGAAATATGGATGTACTGTATGAATCGCATATATTATAAACATGAATTCTTAAATTTTTGATATTTTTTGTATGAATCAGATAACATTTGAATCAATTTCCCTATATTATTGCATCCAATTGTACGTACTTAGGTATTTGGTATTTTTTGTTGAAAGAGAATATAATTTTTCGATATCTGTTACCATTCATAATCGACAAAACTGATCTAAAAATATCCATGAAAAATGAAATAGTAAATAAAAATTATCACTATCTGAAAATGAGTTGATTATCAGCTAACGATAATATAATATTTTACTGACATTTTAACAATCCTTTTATCCTTAAAAAACATGACTAAAATAGCCATTTTTTATCTATAGAAGAATATCTGAATTTGAATATATGAAAAAGACAGTGGACCCATCACTTGATAGCCGTAATGTTTCGAGTATAAAGAGAACTTGTTGAGGCTACATATCTTAAATAATAAATAATAATAGATACATAAAATTGATATTTTTATTGGTAAGACATCTATATCACAACGATTTTTATCGTGAATAATGTAGTTTATCTACGGTCAGAAGGTGAAATGCCGATAATGGGATGTCATAAAACTAAAATATTTTTGCACGGTAACAAAAGACATACAATTTCAAGTTGTCGTCATAACATTTTATGTATCTGCTTGATATTATAGTTACATACCTGCTACTAGGGATAGAATGCATCTACGTAAACTCCGCTCGTAAATCACCTGAAAATAAAAATTGTTCTATTTTGAATGTAATCAACAATTAAAAACAGAAAAAATAATAATATCTGCATCTAACTGCTACCTCTAATAGAATAATATTTTTTAATTACATGACAAAATATTTTTATCACAAAATTGTTAATAAAAATTTTATTTTACAAAAAACAATGTTTTGTATGAAATTTAATAAAAAAATTAAACACCAATTAAGTAAAATTAGAGAGAAAGCTTCAAGGTTTTGATTCATATATCTATATTTTGAGAATTATTTATCAGAAATCTTTTTGATTCCACTGATATTATGAATAATTATAAAGTTCATCATAACTCAATGACATAATCAATTTATTTGTATTTTCCTGGTTATAAAAATGATCAAATTCCGGATAATTTGGTATTAATTATGTTACCATAATGCGACTTATGATAGATTGTTCAGGCTCACACAATTATCCTAATTATTGTGGAATTAAGATCCGATTGTTCTACTGGGATGAACTTAATCAGACACTGGTGAATGACTGTGCATAGGTCACAAGATTGGTCTATACAATTTTCGGATCGAGTCCAGATCAAAGGTCTGGTCAGGTATTTAATCGGGTAATAGGACTCTGACCTCTCACATCTCCTACCACTGCATCCTTACTCTCTTGCTTCCTCTCTCAATCACTCCAGCTCTTTGATTCACCACCGTCAACTTCAAGTGTACACCGCTAACTTAAAGGTATAACTAAATGCATTACTCCACAGATGAGCAGTCTAAGTCAACTTTAAGTTACAGACAGAAAATTCGAAATCCTGTCTAAATGGATTAACTAATCTCACAACTTAAACATCTTCTTATATTAACCTATTAGATTACATCAGTCAATAGAAACATTTTTAGTAATATTGAGTTCTTATTGACTTAAAAATAGATCATGACAGGAAAGAAAATGATCATGACAGCTACTTTAGTAATTAAAGGTAATAAGAGATTAGTGTAGCATTTTAATAAAAATTCAGAGAAGAAATTTTTTGAAATGATCTCGAACATCATTGAGATGGAATTGAAGGAGATTTATTACAGAAGAATAAATGTATGTGTTGTTACTTAATTGTAAATGAAATCATATTTAACTGACGAGTTATTAATCATAATTTTTCATTTGATTAAATAAGTAACTTTCAAGTTTGAGTAAAATTAAAATATTGTATTTTAAAAGGTTTGTATTGAATGTACAACAAATTTTACTCATATCATACAACCGCTTTTTTAGACTTACTTAACGAATTGCCTATTCATTAACTTTAATTTCTCAATCTCAATTAATACTCAACAGATTTTATTTTTATTTTCAGACTTGAAATTTCATGGAAATATCAACAATAAATCTACGACCGAACAAGTAATTTTATAACTAAACCCAATTTATAATAAACAAACGACTAATTTTGCTTAAAGTTGATTATACTACGTAAAATGTATACCCAATTATATTGGGGTGTAAATTTTTTGTCACTGACATGATAGACTCTAAAATATCACAGATAATTACAATTTTTAATTAACATCGACTGAATGACAGTTTAAATTAAACTAAAGATTTATGTATTACTGTGTACTCCCTTGTAGAATAAAACTTGTAAATAACATTGCTGAAAAATATTATAAATTCTCTAGCTAATTAACAAAAAATTCCCTCAAAGATTTACGTTGCCAAGATCGTTGAGACAATTTTCATGTAACGAACAAGTCGGGAATAAAATAAAATGATACTCAGTAGATCTACTTGACGAAGAGATCGTAAAAGTGTGAATTGGGTCATAGAAAAGCACGAAGTTTGTTACTAAATGATATTGGGGTCAGTAAATCACATTGGATAAGCAAAGTATTGATGTCATATCAGTAATGATACGGAAAATTGACAAGATATAAAAACTTGCTTAAAAAGAAACTCAATTGATAAAATAACTTGACCTATCTCAGACGTTTTTTCTTTGCGATAGTTTTTTCATTTCTTCTACATACTCGTCTACTTTATATACAAAAGAATACTCTTGTAAGCTCGAATATTTTCCTCTAGTTATCCTTTAAAGCAAACGTTCTTTTGATTATAAAACATAAGTACATAGAAAACGTCATAAAATAAACGTAAAAAGATATAGACTTATCGAAAAAATATGATGACATAGACGAGAAATATTATACGCATACACTGAGTACTTTTGCATAGGAGTGAAAAGTTTTCTGAAAAGCCTTTAAAAATTCCAATGTCGCATGGATATGCAAAACGCGCAAGAGCTTTCATGATGTGAAATACCAAGCTGGGGAGTTGTGAGGTGGCGTTCACTCAATAATACTTGGCGTAGCTTCATTTATTGGCATTGAATCGTAAAGCGAATGAGGATTCTTCAGTATTTGCATTATAAGAGACTGAAAAAGCCGTTTCAAAATAAACAGGGAATAAATAACTGATTAAAATAAACGTTCTTGTTTAAAAAATAGCTGGTTTTATTGAAAATAATAACGATAATACTAAATTAATACAAAACGTTGCCTATCTGGAGGGTACACCAATGTAGTGGTAATATTAATGCTAATGAGATAAATAACGTAAAGAATGATATTAAGCTACTATTACAATGCTAAAACAATCACAAGTTTATCAGGTTATTTAGAAATTTTAATCTCGATAATTTAATATAGTAAATGTTTGATCTCTATGGTGGAGATGAGGGAATCAGGGGTGATCCGCGAATCGATGAGAGTTGAGCAGCACTGAGTCCAACGATGGTTCTGGAGGTGGTGACGGATGGATCAGCGTTTAATTTGATGTGATTTGATTTGACTTGATTTGATTTGACTGAAAGAAAAAGAATGAAGATGCAATTCTGTCAGACTTGGATCGGACAGATCAAGATTGCTGAAGGATGTAGGAGCATCGCTTCGAAGGTTCGAAATCGTTGGTGCACAAAGAATAAGAGTGATCTGCATAGAGATCTCTGTAGAAGCCCTTTGTCTGCGTGGAGACTCTTCTACAGAACGAATAATCAAGGAAGCATATAGATCCCTGTAGAAGCACTTAGTCTGCATGGAGACCCTTCTACGGAACTAATAGCGGATTGATCTGCGTGGAGATCTCTGCAGAAGCACTTAGTCTCTGTGGAGACTCTTCTGCAGAACTTATGAATGGATTGTTAACAAACTCTTACTTTGACTGAAGATTGTTTGCTGCAGAATCCTCAACGAAGAACCTGGATCAGCTGATGAGTGGTTATCGGGAATTCCCAGTTGACGATGATAACTGCAACCTGGACCACGTCGCGGGAAGATGGTAATCAGCTTTCAGGTAGTTCCAGAAGAAGCTCGATCGCAAGGCAGAAGGTGTCACAGACGTATCGCAGGAACAACTCACTTCACACAATACCCAGAACAACGACAATTCAACGATAGATCGAAAAAAGCAAAGTCCGTGATCTTTCAACGAAAGCGAAAAGGAATCTGTGCAAGATCAAGAAGGACAGGCCCTTGTCTTCCTTGATTTTTGTAGCTCTTCCTCAAGGAGGGAGAACATGGGCGTGGTGGGGTGAGATAAGCATTGGGTGGGTGAAGGAGGTGGAAAGGATTTTCTCACGCCAGCGATAATAAAAAAAAGGTTGGGAAAATCCTTTCGCCAGATTTTGTATTTGAAGTTTTATTGGAAATTTCCCTTTCAATTTTTTCCTTGGTTTTATTGCCAGGACATCTGGAAGGGTTTCGGGGACTCAACATGTGGCTCGCTCATGTAAATTTTTGAAACTCGTAATTTTTAATATACGAGCCATTTTTTATTATTCAACAGTTCTTTTCGCCTTATTTGTCGTACGAGTATTTTTTACACAGATAAAATTATAAAGAACACTTTTTAAAGATACACACTGAATTATTTAATATGGAAATTCGATAGAAATGTATATAAGTTAGCATTTATTTAAGGGGAGCTAGTATGAAATTTGATTTGTTAAAATGATGTATGTGATGATCCACAAGTGATTCAGAGATCTTTGATTTTATAAATTTCATAATACGATAGCTTTACATTCATTTTCATTCATATTTGACACCTGAGAAATAAATTATAGTGCACATAGTGCATGTGCTATCATAAAAAAAATTTACAAAGTACATTTTTCAATAGCTTCCGTTACAAACAATGACTTGCATATCTTGTCATGTTGTTCTATGATTTGTATGTAACTCGTTGAATCTTGGAATATTGAACATTTAAGTAATTTTATCCAAAACTTCGAACGTTTTATAAAATATTTTAGTATATTTTCAATAGCTATTATCAAAGCACTTATAAGTGTAAATTTTATTATGTAAAATATAGAATATGATGCAAATTTGTTCAATAGATGTATTTAATAATTTGCTTAATAAAATCCACTTAGAATTTGATGAACAAAAGAGATTTATATTAATTTAAGTCATCATATATATTTCGAATTTAATAATATTACAACCGATTGGAAAATAATTTATAATCAATATTAAATATAATCTATCAATAATAAATTTAATTTTCCGATAATATAATTTTATTAAATGTAAACATAAAAAAAAGAGACAAAAAATTTAAAGTCATTTGCATTTCGAGGTGTATTTCAATCTTGTACTTTTCAATCCATCTTGTATGCTGATAAGTCTCAGTGAAAAATTAAAATAACATCCGCTACTCTAGAGATATCCGTCAGAGATGAGTGCAAACTTGGATCCAAGTAACATGTAATGTGTTGCTCACATTACCGGTTTTCCTTCCGTCGCTTGACAAGGTATACAGTTGATAAAGTTGTTTCGTCTAAGTCTACCATCAATCATTGTCTTCTTACAGTTTTCTCGCGTGCAACCTGGTCACTGTTTTCTACTTCTCTTCAGTTCTACACCTATGGGAGGAAGCCGTCTGTTGCAAAAGAAGATAAACGAAGTAAAAAGAGACAAATACGAGGTGCAAATCGCTACGTAAATGTGCGGAAGAAATACACAAATATAACGTGTGAGAACGAGAACACGCGATGACACGGTTGAGTTGAAACATTTTTTAAAAGCAACCTCAAACATTTTTCAGTGCCTTTCTTTCAATGCTTATCTTTATTTCAAGTAATCAGCCCACATAACACTTCATCATGAAAATAATGAAAAACTAACACAACTTGGAAATTTGTGTCAAACAGAAAAGCAATAAATAAACGTCAACGTATGTGACTTGTTATTATTATTATTTAATATAATGTTTAAATAATGAAAATTTTGAAATGTTTTAAGAAGAAACTATTCAAAATATATTAAAAAATAACAAATTATATAAAAAAGAAATGATTAATAATTGAATCAGCAATAAATGATATGACTTAAATAATAATTTTATAATTTGATACATACAATGTGTCAGATGACGTTGTAGTTATTTATTCATTTTCTATAAAATTTTTAAGATTTCTTAAAAACTTGCAAGCTCTCAAACCTAATATACTTTACTTATTTACAGCATTGTTTTAAGTTCGCTTCATGTTGACTTAAATTTGATTTACCATCCAGGAAAATTTTATCGTTTAATCTACTTTACTTATCGATGATGGAAAACATTATGAACCATTTTCTTAGATGTAAAAAATTTTAAACTATATTACTTTCTTTAAAACTTAACATGGCATTCATTTGAGTCAAATTGAAAAAAATTAAAAATAAAGTTTTTATGTTTTCAATTATCTATGAAAGCTTTTCATATTTTTATCAGCATGATAAGATTACATTAAAGGAGAAGGTAGGATTATGGTCCAATCAGTAATAAATTTCCCACATATATATTGAAAAAGAACTTCTTTGAAAAACATGGGAAATTTGAATAGTGATGATCGGTGATAATTTAACCGAGTAAAATGTGATTAAGTAAAAATAAAACAGTGACCCATAATTTTACCTTCTCCTCTTGTACTAACCTTTCTTTCTATATTTATTATTTTTAATTGATACATCCAACTTTCGAATGTGTGAAATATTCATAATTCATGATTACTCTCTGATTCGTTAATCCAACTCGGCCGTCATAACTCTATTAACTTGGAAATTTTTTTGAGAGTTGGTCCATTAAATCAACTGCTAAAATTCCACAATTAAATAACCGAGAATCACAATCACGATAAACCGCATTCTCATTTCCGAATAAGAAAAAAATTCTCGATTGTAAAACACGTGCAGATTTGACAATTAGAAAATTCGATTCAGCCAAAAAATTTTTTACTGCAGTGTAAATCATCTTTTTTTCAGTCCATATTTTTCACTCAGATATTAATTAAATTTTTAAGTCATTTTTTTTTGTGTAGACACGAAGTTTCCACTTATATAATTTTTCAAAAAATATTGCACTACATTTTTTAAACTTACAAAAACTGTTAACCATTTCATCTTGTTATATTCGAAGTCTAAAATTATTATTACCTTTTCATTTTTTATTGACGTTTTTTTATTTTAGTTTTATTGATAATTGAAAAAAAAAATAGTGAACCTCATAGCAAATAATCATGAGGGTGTATTATCGTTCGTATGCCTTGAATTGAAATTTTGAAGCTTAGGTTTCAAGCTTCGCATTAACAGTAGTCTGGATATTGCAAGCGATGGTAGAGCAATTAGAAAAACGACGGGTGCTACTCAAATGAGTGCATTGCCTTTAATGACCTGCATTGGATCGAGTTCCCACGCGAGGAAAGCGTATAGGATTCTAGGCGGTAACGACTCACCAATTTGCACGTTTTAATACAATACTTCTCGTTTAGATGAGGACGCAATGAAAGCTATATATTTTCCTTTCTTCACATTCAATTCATTGTTTCAACAAAATATTAAATAGCTTTGTGAGTTTTTTATATTATTATCCCCTACTTTATTTCTCTTAATTCATTGCAGTTTTATTGAGTTAATCAGCAACCCAGACATGCAAATAACGTATTTGTGCGCTTAAAAATAATCGTTCATTGAAAAAAATTTCTAGTTAAAAGAATTATCTAAAGTATTGTTACAAACAGATTGTTGTTATAGTGAATAATTATAACAGCTATCTACATCACTAATGAGTGATTTGTGATGTCACACGCTCATAACCTCATCTCTGATCATGAAATTAGAATATTCCAATTATATTAAATATATATTAAAGTCATTTAGTAAAAATACTATTTGATATTATGAAGAATAAACGTTACCAAAATGGTATGATTTTATGGGTCCAATTTTGCAAGAATATTTAAAAAACAATACTTAAAGTAGTTGCGAACACTATCTTTTCAAAACAACTATTTCAGACATCGTATAAAATAAACGTTTTTCACATGTAAAATTGTATAGTAATTTTACTCAACATTTGTACAGTAAATTTCATGTACGCAGCACTGAAACCTACTTATGTACGTACTATACGCACGTTGAAATTTATTCAACATCTATTGAAAATTACACTATGTAAGGGATAAAATTTTTAGGTTAAAAGTAACCCTGATATTTCTTTATTAAAAATAAAATAAAAAATGATTTCGATTATATTAAGATTTTTTTATTGTTGACATATTATAGAGTGAACATTAGCTTGTGAAAATACTGCGAAAAATCGATATTGTAGTGAAGCTCATGCTGAGGTAGATTCGAACCTATGACCACCAATTCGTGTGCATCTAATCTGGTGCCTTAACCCACTCGGTTATCGGCTTCATAAACAAATTATTTCAACTATATCTATAGATATCAATGACCATATACATATGTCAAATAAACATATCAGAAAATGTTTTGTTGATTAAAAGAATTCATTGTTCGGATTCAAAGAAGCAATTACATCATTTACTTAGGATTATGCAGAAATATCGACGAAAAATTTTTAAGATTATCAATTCAACGAGTAAGGCGTGTTTCAATGTTCACATTGGAAAATACTTAACACATGAATTGTAATTTTCAGTCAGTATAGATGAGTTTTTCATTTTATGAGTGAATTTCAATAAAATTTATTAAAGTTCAACAAAATATCGAATTATACTTCACATCATTGAATATCTGTACAAAACATAGAATTATGTTACAGGTGTTCATGAAATAAAAAGTCATTGACAATGTTTAGGAAATTTCATGTGCAATTGTAAGTTACAATCGTTGAATTTTTAATTTACTTTTTACGGTTATTTTTCATTTAGTTTCCAGACATACTAATAGAAGGATTTATTCAAAATTGATCATATTTATTAGTAATTACTACATATGTTGCTGGGAAAATAAATAAATCGTTAATATTTATAAAATTATTCATCCTAACAGATTTGATTTTTGTTTCCTATGAAAATACTATGATTTAACATTGGAGATAAGTCAGGATTAATGTATAGAATATAACTGAAAATAATATTCGATCTTCCTGCAAACAAGATTTATTAATTATTGATAAATTTATATCGGACGTAAATAATATAACCACTAATAAACATTCCTAATAATTCCTAGTTGTGAATTTATATGGCCATATAAAATTAGTCAATAATCGAAATATAGTAAAAATTGAGTTTGTTATGCAAAAAAAGAGCTTCTGAGACTCGGACAAAAGGGGGTTTCGTAGATATTAGAACTAGCTCTAATATCAACAAATAAAATTGTGGGATCGTTCTACTTAATAAACCTTGTATTATCTAGAGGCTCTCTGTTCTTCACCTAAGTTAAAGAAAGAGAAAGAATATGTGTTAAATATGCAAGTTATCCTTACTGTTGACAGCTAGTTGTAGTGTGAATTTTGATGCCAGACGAGAGAGCGAGAGAGTGAGATACATCCAGTTAGAGGTTATGAATAGTAGACAAAAGAGAAGGATAGATGTCAAATTGAAGACAGCAAATTAATAACTTTTATTTCACTATTATTCAATTGTAAAAAATTGCTTGATAACACTATCTTGTGATTATAATTCTCTGAACTTCATCGGATTTATAAAAAAAAATATATAGTATTTATTAAGGGTGAAAACTCCAGAAAGTAAATGATTGAAAAATAACTATTAACTATTATCAGCTATAAGACGTTCGCCCGGCAATTTTAGGGATAAATTGAGAACAAAAATGCAAAACTACCAAGTTTCCTCATCAATATCGCAATGAGATTTTAGGACATTAAAAGCGAAGCGATTATGGAGTCTGGAAATTGTACTTATGTGAACGAGCGCCGAAACGAAGAGTATATATTTGGCTGATAGTTAAATATTGGTTGAATAGATTAATCGATAAATTAAGACGCAAAAATTTCGGATATAACAGTTTTCCCGAAGGCGATGGGATCACCCTAAACACATCGTCTTAAAAAAAGTTCTACAATTAATACAGTGAATAAAAGAGAATTAATATGTTTGAAAGTTAATTAATCAAATGGAAAAAAAAAAGAATAAGAGAAATTTTAATTAATTATTTAAACTTATTTATTAGCAAAAGTTGAATTAGGCATTAATAACTGAGATTAAAATAGCTGATCTAAAATAACGTAGAATGTAGAGAGCTGGTTACACGTCGAGGTGATCGCAGACCAGTGTTTGAACAATAATTAAGAGGTTGAAGCTGTTGAATCCTGAAAGAAAATATGAATTGGTATTTTCTCAGAGAGTGACACGTATGCCCGTAATTAGACACAACATTGAATCAACATTTTTAATCAAACTTTCTTAGAATTGAATCAAGTGGTTCTGTCAGCAGAAGTGTAAAATAAACTTCGTGAAGATTCATGCTGAATCTTCCAATAACATGTGATCAGAGACTCACTTGATTGCCAATTGAAAATCAACAACAAAACTTGATCTTCTAGAATGTTTCATATCAACCAGTTTAGCCAGCAGATGTTCCTATCTGGAAATCATTGAGATTTGAGAAAATCTCAGCACTTGAGAATGTGGCTGTTTACGTAGTTGATATGTCTCATTTTTAATCAATTGTAGATATAGATCAAGGTATAAGTCAGCAGAAATCGTGTATAATTTCGTGGAAGACCATCTTAACTTCCTCAAGAATGTGACTTATACGCAATTGATCTAGTAACATAAGAAGAATCAAGGCTGGGCTTGATCCAAACAATAATGAACTTGACTCACAACTTAGTTGAAGATTGAATCCAGCAATATGACTTATTGTAATTGATCAAACAACAATGAAAGAGAAAATCAGAGGCTTAATTCCAATTTGGATTGACCACACTAGAGATGTATTTAATTACAGCAAAACGACACAGTGCACTCGTTGGAACTTTTTTAAAGACTGACTCATTTTCTTTAAGATATCTTTGATTGAAAACCAAACATCTCTTTCTTTGTCCTGATTATGCGTCGATCAGAGACTCATGTGCTGGTACAATCATCATGAAAGTAATAAAAGTATCAACAGATGAATGGAAACCAATACTTAAGTAAACATGAGAGTACTTGAAACAGACTCTTAACGAAAACCTTATACTAAATATATTAGTTAAAAAATTGTAGTCTTAGCTTCATCATTTTATTAAAAATAAAAGAATGGTGTTAATGTAACAATGTAACATCATGATTTTAAACATTTCCGCCCGCCTTCGTCGACTTCAGCGACGAACTCTCAGAAGTTGAATCAATCACAAGAGGGCAGAGCTTTGTAATTGGTCGAGTCATTGTTGTTGTACTCGTTTTAAGAGTGACAACTCGAACTAAACCATCCTTGCCTGGATGTACTTGAATAATTTTGCCCATAGGCCACTTACCAGGTGGATATCGTTCATCGATAATCAGAACAATATTACCTGGTTTAAGAGATGGAGTAAGCTTGTTCCATTTGTAAATAGCTTGAAATCGTTGAAGATATTCCCGAGACCATTTAGTCCAAAAACTTTGTGTCATCTGGCTGATAAGCTGCCATCGAGAAAGCCTTGATGACTTTATAGTTTCCAAATTTGGTTCTGGAATTATCGTTAGAGAGTGGCCAATTAAAAAATGCCCTGGAGTTAAGACATCAAGATCATCTGGATCATCAGTCAATGGCATTAACGGTCTTGAGTTAAGGATTGCTTCAACTTGGATTAACAAAGTAGTAAATTCTTCATAAGTGAAGTGTATGTCGCCTGCAACACGTCTCAAATGATGTTTCATTGATTTAATAGCTGCTTCCCATTTGCCTCCGAAATGAGGAGTTGCAGGCGGGTTGAAATGCCAAGAAGTACCATCATTAGCAACCAAAGCAGCCATTTCACCAAGTTGTTGACTGTTTTTCGTGAATAAATCCTTTAATTCTTTTTCAGCGCCTTTGAAATTTGTGCCACAATCACTGTATAAATCCGAACAAATACCTCTTCTTGATACGAATCGTTTGTAGGCAGCTATAAATGCTTCTGTTGTGTAATCAGTAACCAATTCTAAGTGTACTGCTGAAGTAGTTAAACAGATGAACAAGGAAACCCAAGCTTTATAAGTCTACCTTTCCAAGTTTTAATCACATAAGGTCCTGCATAATCTAGGCCAGTATGTAAAAAAGCTCTATTTGGATTTACTCTGGAATAAGGTAATTGTCCCATTAATTGACTTGCTTGAAGTCGCCGATACCGAGTGCATCTGACACATTTGAGAATGAACGAACGAATTGGATTTCGTCCACCTAAAATCCAATACTGATTTCTAATATACATAAGAGTATCTTGAGTAGAGCCATGAAATACCCGCTTATGAGCTTCGTCGATGATCAAAATTGAAAAGTGCACATCCTTTGGAAGAATATATGGATGTTTGGTATCAGTTGACAATGACGAGTGATTTAATCGACCTCCAACTCGCAACAAGCCTTGACGATCTATGAATAGAGTAAGTTTAAGCAAAGAACTTGAGTTTGGAATCTCTTGTTTCTGTTGTAAACAAGAAATTTCTTTGCTAAAATACTGGTGTTGAATTAACTTAATCCAGAACAGTCGTGCTTCATTGATTTCAGCTGGAGAAAGTGGACAAATTGCGAGAGATTTAGATTGATTTCTAAAACATTTAATTGCTCGTTTGCATGTTGCTGTTACTCTTAAAAGCTTGGTCAAATTTGAAAATCGATTTTGAAGATCCCAGATTTGATTTTTAATACAGAGATGAACAACTTTAGGTAATATTTTACTTCGTTCTTCTAAATCCTTTGTAGACTTATTAGGTAAAGGTAGCGTAGGCCACATTGACGAATCATCAACTAACCAGGAAGGGCCTTTCCACCATAGTACATAATCTTTAAGTTCTTTTGCAGTTAAACCCCTTGATGCACAATCTGCTGGATTCATTGTTCCTGGTACGAATTCTCATTTCGCTTGCGGAATTAAATCTTGAATTAAACATACTCTATTATGAACAAATTCTTTCCATCTAGAAGGATGATTATTGAGCCAAATATGAACAATAGCAGAGTCTGTCCAAAGGTAGCATGGAGCTTGGTTCAGATTTAATACTTGTCGACACTGAGCGACGAGTTTGGTTAATAATACTGCTGCTGATAACTCCAGTCTGGGAATTGTCATTCTTTTAATTGGTGCAACTCTAGTTTTTGAACACAACAGTGTAACTTGGGTTGTATTTAATCCATATGTCTTAATATAAACTACTGCTGCAATTGCCAATTGAGAAGCATCACTGAATCCATGTATTTCAATAGATAAATTCTTCATCATACCAGTCCATCGAGGTATTTCAATGTGATTCAGCTCATCCAATGAATCAATAAAAGTCTTCCAAGATTTTACCTGAGAATCATTGAGAGGATCATCCCAACCAGTTTTGATTACCCATAACTCTTGCATAAAAATTTTAGCTTTAATAAAAATTGGCGACAATAAACCAAGTGGATCAAAAAACTGTGCTATTTTTGATAATACCGAACGTTTGGTGAATTTTGTAACAGATGCATCCAATAGTTTAAACTGAAAAGTATCTAATGCAGGCTTCCAAGACAGGCCAAGAGTGTGAACAACTTGCTCTTTAAGTGAAATGGATTGTGTATTGATTACATAATTAGAGTCGATGAGCTTTAAAACTTCTGGTTCATTACTTATCCATTTTCTTAAAGGAAAACCGCCCGCCATGCAGAGATCATATGTTTGTTTAGCTTTAAGTTGAGCTTCTTCAATTGTATCAGCTCCTCCAAATACATCATCAACGTAACGTCCTTTGAGCAATATTTCAGCCGCTAAAGGAAATTGATGACCCTCATCTTTAATCAATTGAAGTACAGCACGTAAAGCCAAGTAAGGAGCACACACTAATCCGTAAGTAACTGTTGTCAGCTCAAACTTGATAATTTTACCCTCTTCTTTCCAAAGAATTCGTTGAAACGGCCAATCATCTTTATGTACTTGAACTTGGCGGTACATTTTCTCAATGTCAGCAGAAAATAAAAATTTGAATTGCCGTACCCATATTAAAATATCGAAAAGATTGATTTGAAGCTTTGGACCAGCATGTAATGCTTCATTTAGAGGAATTCCATTTGTTACTTGACATGAGCCATTAAAGACTACTCTCAATTTCGTTGTGATACTGGATTCACGGATGACTCCGTGATGAGGTAGATAAAAACTAACCTTTGGTTCAGGCTCATCGTCAGCTACTTGATTCATATGATGCAACATTTTATATTCTTTAAGAAACGAAGAATAAGCTTGATAAAAATCAGGATTAGAAGAGAATTTTCTCTGTAGATGATTTAACATTCGAATAGCAGATAACTTTGACTCTCCTATTTGGTTTACTGGAGTCCTGAATGGAAGTCTTACTATGTAACGACCAGAGTCATCACGAGAATGAGTAGCAATGAAATGGTTTTCACATTCTTGTTCTTTTGGATCTAAGGTTTTATTCTTAGAACTAATGATTTCCTCTTGATGCCAAAAGTTTTCTAAAAGAGAGTACAACTCTTTATCCAATGAACAATGATTTGAAGTCACCTCTCGTTGATCAGAATTTATGCTTGACGGTCCAGAAATTATCCAACCCAATTGAGTAAGCTGAGCTGTAGGTGAGTTATCTGGACCTTTTACAATTGATCCTTCTAATAGAGATCCATAAATGTCAGAGCCCAATATTAAATCAATTGCTCCTGGTTTGGTATAATGAGGATCTGCTAATAATAAATTCTTCAAATGATCCCATTGAGGTATATGACATGTCTTTGAAGGAATTCTTGAAGTTAATTTAGGTAGGACATAAGCTTGACAAGCTATAATAGTTGCAGATTCATAATGAGGTTTAATTTTCAGGTTCACTAATCCTCTAGTTGAACCAGTTCTTTTAGCTCCAACTCCGATGATAGGAATGGATGCTGATTTTCTCAGAAGCTTTAATTGTTGAACCACATATTCTGATATCAGAGAGATTTCTGAACCTGGATCAATAAGAGCTCGAACTTCTAGAGAAGTTCCATTTTCATGTAGAATTTTGACTTGAGCTGTTGCTAAAAATACAATCGCTTGAACCTGTAATGGCTTATGAAGATGATTGACTTGTTTTGAAGGTTCTTCGGTGTGTGTTGAATTTGACTGATTCACCAGTGTTGATGACTGAACCTGTTTGTTCGAAGAATTGAAATCTTGAAATTGATGCAGTGATGTGTGATGTTTACGCCCACATTTTAAACACCGATGCGATGAATTACAGTTTGATCGAAAATGATATTTTAGACAATTATAGCATAGTTTCTTGGATTTGATAAATTCTTGACGCTGTTTAATGGTTTTAGATGCATATTGAGAACACTTTGTTAATGGATGTGGTTTTGAACAACAAGGACATGTCTGTTGTTTGGATGAGAACGAATTTCCAATACTTTCTTGACTCGTCGAATGATGTGACTTGAAATGATGTTGTCTTGAATTATTAGTTCCTGATAATTTTTTAGGAATCTTTTCAAAGGATTGAAGTGAAACCATTTTGGTTTTTAAGAAGCTCTCAAGTTGATCCCATGTAGGTGGTCTTTTTGAAGCGCCCAAGTAGTTTTCCCAAGATCTCACTAGATTAGCATCTAGCCTATTGACAGTTAAATGTACCAATATGTCATCCCATGAATGAATGGGACGATTCAATGTTTCTAAAGTTCTATATGCTTGTAATGTAGATGAATATAACTGTTCTAACTCAGAAGCTGATTCTTTAGTCATCGCTTTAATTGCGAATAATGATGCAACTGCAGATTGAACTAAGAGTCGATCGTTTTCATAAAATGAAGTAAGAGAATCCCATGCTTTTTGAAAATTTTCTGAAGTCAATGAAATATTCTTGATGAATTGAGCTGCTGGACCGGTTAAACTTATTTTGAGGTATTGTAATTTTTCGACCAATGAAATTGATGCATTTGAAATCACAATAGATGTAAATAAATCTCTGAATGGCAACCAATTGTTAAATGTTCCATCATACTTTCGTATATCTATGCGTGGTAATCTTGAATTTATATGAGTGATAACAGAAGTAGGCTGTGAGGCCGATGATGTTGACGCTGTCTCACATGTTGTTTCGAGTAAATTCGACATCCTTTCAACGTTGTCCAAGTACGTCTGGTACGTCTTATTATAAACTTTGTTTATGAAATAAGTATGCTGTTCGAGCACAGTACGCTGAGGAAATTCAACTTTTCTGATACACATAAGTATTGCGTCATTGTTGACGTTGAAATTTCCCCATTCCTCTCTGAGAGCCTGGAGCCTTGACTCGATCCGATGACGAGAGACATCTCCGCGTCCAACACTCATCAAGTGCTCGTACGCATTTTCAATGCGTTCTGCGTACGACAATTGTTGATCTAAACGACGCTCGACGTGTTCAGCTCTCATGTTTGAAAGGAATTGTGAACAAACTTTATCACTTAATATTAAAAGAAACAAGACTCTATTGATAAAAAACGAAATGACTGGCCGGACGTATCCGGCTCGAAGGACCAAAAAATGAATAAAAGAGAATTAATATGTTTGAAAGTTAATTAATCAAATGGAAAAAAAAAAGAATAAGAGAAATTTTAATTAATTATTTAAACTTATTTATTAGCAAAAGGTGAATTAGGCATTAATAACTGAGATTAAAATAGCTGATCTAAAATAACGTAGAATGTAGAGAGCTGGTTACACGTCGAGGTGATCGCAGACCAGTGTTTGAACAATAATTAAGAGGTTGAAGCTGTTGAATCCTGAAAGAAAATATGAATTGGTATTTTCTCAGAGAGTGACACGTATGCCCGTAATTAGACACAACATTGAATCAACATTTTTAATCAAACTTTCTTAGAATTGAATCAAGTGGTTCTGTCAGCAGAAGTGTAAAATAAACTTCGTGAAGATTCATGCTGAATCTTCCAATAACATGTGATCAGAGACTCACTTGATTGCCAATTGAAAATCAACAACAAAACTTGATCTTCTAGAATGTTTCATATCAACCAGTTTAGCCAGCAGATGTTCCTATCTGGAAATCATTGAGATTTGAGAAAATCTCAGCACTTGAGAATGTGGCTGTTTACGTAGTTGATATGTCTCATTTTTAATCAATTGTAGATATAGATCAAGGTATAAGTCAGCAGAAATCGTGTATAATTTCGTGGAAGACCATCTTAACTTCCTCAAGAATGTGACTTATACGCAATTGATCTAGTAACATAAGAAGAATCAAGGCTGGGCTTGATCCAAACAATAATGAACTTGACTCACAACTTAGTTGAAGATTGAATCCAGCAATATGACTTATTGTAATTGATCAAACAACAATGAAAGAGAAAATCAGAGGCTTAATTCCAATTTGGATTGACCACACTAGAGATGTATTTAATTACAGCAAAACGACACAGTGCACTCGTTGGAACTTTTTTAAAGACTGACTCATTTTCTTTAAGATATCTTTGATTGAAAACCAAACATCTCTTTCTTTGTCCTGATTATGCGTCGATCAGAGACTCATGTGCTGGTACAATCATCATGAAAGTAATAAAAGTATCAACAGATGAATGGAAACCAATACTTAAGTAAACATGAGAGTACTTGAAACAGACTCTTAACGAAAACCTTATACTAAATATATTAGTTAAAAAATTGTAGTCTTAGCTTCATCATTTTATTAAAAATAAAAGAATGGTGTTAATGTAACAATGTAACATCATGATTTTAAACATTTTAAAATGTTGCAAATTAATAACTTTTATTTCACTATTATTCAATTGTAAAAAATTGCTTGATAACACTATCTTGTGATTATAATTCTCTGAACTTCATCGGATTTATAAAAAAAAATATATAGTATTTATTAAGGGTGAAAACTCCAGAAAGTAAATGATTGAAAAATAACTATTAACTATTATCAGCTATAAGACGTTCGCCCGGCAATTTTAGGGATAAATTGAGAACAAAAATGCAAAACTACCAAGTTTCCTCATCAATATCGCAATGAGATTTTAGGACATTAAAAGCGAAGCGATTATGGAGTCTGGAAATTGTACTTATGTGAACGAGCGCCGAAACGAAGAGTTTATATTTGGCTGATAGTTAAATATTGGTTGAATAGATTAATCGATAAATTAAGACGCAAAAATTTCGGATATAACAGTTTTCCCGAAGGCGATGGGATCACCCTAAACACATCGTCTTAAAAAAAGTTCTACAATTAATACAGACTAAACCGACACTCAAGTAAGTAGGATACTAGTGTGTCATAATATATGTGTGACACTCGATTCAATTATTATTTTAATTGAATTATAATTTTATTGAATAGATCAAAAGTCTGTAATTGTATGATTTCAAGTGCTGTTCCACGATGATCTGATCTCTATCTTATTTTTTCGACACCTTTTTTTTTTTTTAAAAAAAGTTTTTTATCAAAAATAACACAAATATATATTATATAATAAGATACAAATATACTTATTAAGTAAGATCGTTATCAGATATTTACATAGATATTACTATCAATTCAAATTATATAAGGCCTGTCATGATTATGACAGTCTACGTTTTGTACTCAAAGTTATACACAAATTTTTTCGACATCTGACTGATACATTAAACCTTACGTTTTTATCTAGACGAATATGACATAATTAGAAGTCCCGTGTTTCCGGTGCTCTCGAGCCCCTTCGCATAGCTCTTTCATTTGAGGAAAATCTAACGCCTTTCACACGACACACACAATTTTTTTAAATAAATTTTATTGCTTCTTACCAAGTGGCTTTTCCGAAAGCAACAAAATTAAAAAAAAATTTTTCCTTCAATTAATTTTCGGAATATTTTTAATAATTTTCTATTTTAATAGGCACAATATATTATATTAAAATAATTTCATCTATGAGAATATGAATAAATAATGAAACAATAATATTCAATTGCCTCTCATTAAATTAAATCAGAATGAAAAATGACCTATTGTAATACCAGGAAGGTTTTTTTTTTAGTGAAGTTCATAAAAAGCCTGACTAGATACAAGTACCTCTACTTACAAGAAACAATCTACTGTACCTCTTTAGATATTTTACTTCTCTGTAAGTACTTTAGCTTCTATGATACCCGTTCATCGTACACACCACTTTTAACAGAAGAAAAGGATCATTACACGCTGAGGATGCGACAGCTATTCTGACATACACTTGCACTTCTTCTTTCGAACAGTGACCCCAGAGAATTATCTCTTATTTCCTCTTGTCCTTTACTTGGTATACGAAAAGTGATCACTGGAGCACTTATCTCACGTATCTCACTGGTTGCCAATCGTTGGACACCTAAGCCGGATGCCCCAATTGTTCGCTACACAATGGCTTCTATCTTCCGAACAATGAAATGTCTGTTCTTGCGATATGATATCAGAAAAAAGTAAAAGATCTGGATAATTATTGATCAGATGAATCAGCTTTCATCTCTTTTATTTCATGTAATAAACTGATTTTGACATAGAAAATATTTTCATATTATAAGATGTGTGCAAAAAATACTATAAACTATTTGAATCTTTATACTTGACTATCGACTGAATTTTTTATTAGAAAAACGAAACTTGTTTATTATTTATAATTTGTGACAAAGACTAAAGCTGACCGAACGTTACTTTTATTCATCATTGATGATTTCAACTGTAATTAACATTCATTTCAATTTTCAATAATTATTGTGGTGTTATTTCTTCTCTTTAGTAAAAATGCTTCACTTGATACTTAAAACTATACTTGATTAATTGAATGAATACAATTTACTTTTAAATAAATTATTAAAATTCCAAAAAGGGTGGCCATTTTACCAAAGTTTTACATCAATATTTTATAGCACATACGCGATGATTTATTTACCACAGATTTTGTACACATGAAAAAAACTATGATCGTAAATAGCCTGTACATTAATCTAAACAATTTTTTATACAGAAGAATGTTTTATTTAATTTTTTTACGCTTGATTGAGAAGTCAGATGAATTTTAATGATGCCATTGAAGTAATGAATTACGCTAATTAAATGAAAGTCGTTAAAGACTAATTTTATTCCTCAGATTTGGCAATTCCTTTGTTACGAAGTTACTCAAGACAAGATTCTACTTGCCAGAAACTCGAAAATAAAATTTATTCCGATGGGTTCACCAAGATCTACGGAATGGAAAATTTAATCAGCTTCTTCGAAAACAAAGTTTTTTACAATTGATACGAGAATTTTCAGTTCACGTCGTTTTCCTTAATACAGAGCATACTTAATTAAGAGAGATTTGTTGGATAGTGTTGACAAAGTCTCTTTTTTTATCTTTAAAAGCTTCCCTTAATGAAATTGCTCATAAGTAAAAATTGTCTTCATAGTAACCAATGAGAGCAGACAAAGGACAAGCGTACTAATACCTATAAAAGATAGGTCGAGAGCAGCTCTCCGGGTAAATATCTTTTTAAAGTTATCTCACCCAGAAGGCTTCTCCAAAGACTAACAATATAGAGCCAATAAAATTTTTAATTACTACCTAACAAAATTATGTCTTTTTATTATAAAAAAAATGGTGTTAAAAAAGAATGCAATTGCTTTTGTAATGAAGATGCAAAATAATAATGAACAGAAAAGAAATTATTTTAAACATTGATCTCAATTTCCTGAAATATCACTGAGAAACAAATGTGATAAATATTAAAAGATTATAAAGCGAAATAAAAAGATGGAATTTTAAGATGAGAAATGTCCTCCGCGCAAAATAGTGTAGACATGAAGCTTGAACGTTACTTGATAATAATATTTTTTCAAAATCAATATATAAAAGTTTACTCAGATTTAAAAGCTTTTCATAAGAAAATATATAAATAAAAAAGCATCAACAATATATATTCAACGCTCACTCACACTAGAAATATTATTTTGGAACGTTTTTTGATATCTTAAGAAATATGCATACACAGATAAATTAATAATGATAGTCAAGATCAAATTTCAGCGAATTTTATATTCCACAAAAATTTTAGACTTAGTTACTTATTGAAGAAAAATAAAAATATATCAAAAATGTACTTCCAGTTGAAAAGTTAAATTATTAAGTATTTTCTTATTAAAAAATTTCAAGTGTTGAAGTAAAACTTTAAAAAAGACAAATAACAGTTCAAACTCACATACAGCATTATAGAAATCATTATGAAAATGGCGAATCTTCAATATTCAGAATCACTTATTGAAAATTAATCATAAAAATTGGTTACCGTCTTCAACAAAAAATCAATTCTTAAAATAATCTGAAGCCATCACCTTCAGTGCACGAAATCGATTGAACATTTTTCTATAATCTTTACACAAGCTTTAACAGAAAAAAATTAGATAAAACATTGAAAACACTTAGTGCCTA